TGTGCGCCAATTTGAATATAAGTTGTTTGGTAAATTGCATATTTTACAATTGAAGATGCGCGATTATTTAGGATTTATGATGGAACAGAAGACGCTTTTTGACCGTAAACAAATTTTTACAGCCTTTCGAGTAGCTCACGACTACATATAATCTTCACCGGCCGAACCATCTTGTAAAAATAAAATCTTATAACAAGAGATCACATGCACAAACCCGGCCTACCTTCAGGAGTCAAAGTGCTGCTGGGCAAAACTTCCGGCGTAGTTGGCGAAGCTTGTATGGATGACAAGGCCTTCAACACAGCGCTCTCTTTCGACGAAGACGTCATCATCACCGATTCGGTGACTAGTCTAGGTGTGGCAAGATCTGAACTCTGGAGAATAGATGGAATTGGACTCTGTTGAATAGCTAAAACTGTAGACAGGAGCATTGGTGGATTACGTGTTGGAGCGATTATGATTGTAGTAAGGAGTAGAGCTAAAAATAAAGAGCATAGTATAGAGCTAAAAATAAAAATATCATTTAAATATTAAATAATTGGTGTCAGGCTTTTCTTATTCTTTCGTGAAAGTGATCAAGAAATAAAAAATAACAATAAAAAGACTTGAATTGGTATATTTCTACTGTAAATGAGTTAAAGTGCGAATTGTTTCCATTTACCAAACTGACGTGAACTGAGTCATTTTCGGAGGATGGAAGAGGTGTTAAATGGCTACGTATATAACTAACCCAAACCCTACCCCTACTTTAACCCCTAATCCCAACTATAACCCTATCCAAAATAATAAATCCAATAAGACTATATCAGCTTTAGAAATTGATCAAATGACGTAACGCCAGCTTCATGGTTGGAAACGAGTGAATTAAAATCTAACTGAAGTGAAATTATAATCAGAAACTATGAAATTATAATCTAAAACGGTAAGAGTTGGAAAAATGTTGCTATAGTAACAATGACGATCTAATATGGCCAAAATATTGCATGGCTTTCATCAAAGAAATCCACTTCGGAAAAAATGTATGGTTACACCCCATTTATTATTTCATAAAACGTTTCCTATCTAAGGTATAACAGGCTGTCTGAACGAGTTCGGTAATTTAAAAATTTTGGCTATAAGAAATTTCAGAAAGTTGGCTGGTTGTGGTATATAGTACCCTAGGTGCCAGAGGTTCTTCCACCCTCGTAGGGGGATAATGAGGGATACACTACATTTTGGACCTCTATATGCCTGCCCATTTGTAGCAATATTTAATGTGTTCCTATATATATGCATTCCAAAAATCTTTGTAAAAATTTATGCTAAAATGTCTTTGATTTGAACTGCTTTGTTTGTGAATTTAAACATTTTCAAATAATCATTTAAACTTTTCCAAATAATCATTTAAACTTTTTCAAATAATCATTTAAACTTTTGCAAATAATCATTTAAACTTTTTCAAATAATCATTTAAACTTTTCCAAATAATCATTTAAACTTTTTCAAATAATCATTTAAACTTTTGCAAATAACCATTTAAACTTTTGCAAATAATCATTTAAACTTTTGCAAATAACCATTTAAACTTTTGCAAATAATCATTTAAACTTTTGCAAATAATCATTTAAACTTTTGCAAATAATCATTTAAACCTTTTCAAATAAATCATTTAAACTTTTGCAAATAATCATTTAAACTTTTTCAAATAATCATTTAAACTTTTCAAATAATCATTTAAACTTCCTGGGGCGACTACCCGACGCCGCGGACACTCTCCGGCAGAGCTTCCACTCGGAAGGAAATTTCCTTCCAAAAGGATATTTTGGCATTTGGAAGGAAAAATAAAAGGAAATAAGATTTGGAAGGAAATTGGAAGGAAATTCGGCCATTTCGAAGGAAAAGGGAAGGAAATTTTACAATTTAAACTTTTTCAGTAATTTCTAGTAATTTAATAATGGTTAAACACTTTATTATTAACTTTTGAGTTCAAAAACATTTATAAAAATAACACTTCAGATATTTACATAACCATCAAGGATGAATGGGGGTAATTTGGGACTTAATTAACAGGTATTCAGTGAGTAAGTGAGTAGAGTACTTTTTTCAATTTTTTCGAGGGTTTTGAATTTTTATAACCCCAAATTAAAAAAAAAAAACAGTCGGAAAAAGAGAAACTGTAATTTGTAAACCAAAAAAAGTAATTTATAAATTATGATGGCTCATATTGAGTTGACATCTAGTCAGGCTCACCAGAAGATGAAGCTTCAAGTAGTTTTCAAATGCAAACGTAGTAGAAAGCGTGCAGGACAAGTGCCTGGTCCAAAAGTGCCTGGTCCAATTCATAAAAAAGTCTTTTAAGTTCTACGTCGTTCGAGAAAACAGACAAAAAATGAGACAACAGAACATGTTTTTTCAGGTTAAATTAGATATTCACTATTTGAATACTGCAGTACACCTTCAATTTACATCGGGAGTACAGTGCATGAAAATTTACTATAATATTTTAAACTGACATTGGAAGGAAAAATAGAAGGAAATTTAGAATTTTGGGAAGGAAATTTTGCGAAAAAATTAGAGTTTGTCTTAAAAAGGTCCGAAGAAATAAGTTTGCAGGAAAACGAAGACATTCTCTCTGAACTATTAAAACATATAGATTTGCTTGGTACGAGGACAGTACAATTACTGGAAGAAATAAGAGATTTTGTTGTGAATGCTGGTGAGCCTGATTCAGGGAAATGGCATTATGGCAGCAATTGGTGAACGTTTATTGTGAAATTGAAAGCGAATTTATTTGTCTCTACAATCGCGAAGCAACTCGAATTACCGTAACATGCCAACTACCGTTGTTAATTGAGGAAACTAAATGTCCTGGCAGACCGGGTTATCACATTCCAAAGGAGAGTCTGGTAGAATTACGAGGACTTAATTTTTCTTGGTGCAAGATCTCGGAAATGTTTAGCGTGCGGCAGGTACAAAACGCAGGTTGCAGGTTGGAATTTTGCAGGTTGGGAATTTTGCAGGTTGGGGATTTTGCAGGTTGGGGATTTTGCAGGTTGGGGATTTTGCAGGTTGGAATTTTGCAGGTTGCCAGGAATTTTGCAGGTTGATAATGCAAACTTAAAATTACACCACTATAAAGTATTCTAGTATAATTTAATTGTGTACTTATTGCAGTCTGACTCCTTGTCGGCGCTTTTGATATCAGCCCATCCTGCTACCATGTTCCTAGCTTCTGCTCTAAGGAATAGCCATCACCCTTGTGAAAACATTCAAAATGACCAGATTGGCTTGGACCTTCAGGGCACGAATGTTTCGATTGTTGCGAGGTGCCTACATGACGTGGTGGCAGTTCAGAAAATGCCTGAATGAGGTGTATCTCCTCTGCACCCACTTATGAGAAATCCACTCAAGCCCCCAATTACTGTGTCATTACTCGAGAGTTAGTTAACTTTTAACAACATTCTAGTATAAACGCGCCAGGTCATGTAGGCACCTCGCAACAATCAAAACATATTCGTCTCCCTGTAGGTCCAAGCCAATCTGGTCATCAATTTTTAATGTTTTCACCGGGGTGATGGCCACTAGCCTTAAAGCAGAGGCTAGGAACATAGCGGCAGGATAGGCTGATATAAAAAGCGCCGACAAGGAGTCAGACTGCAATAAATGCACAACTAAGTTATACTAGAATACTTTATAGTGGTGCAATTTTAAGTTTGCATTATCAACCAGCAAAGTTCCTGGCAACCTGCAAAATTCCAACCTGCAAAATCCCCAACCTGCAAAATCCCCAACCTGCAAAATCCCCAACCTGCAAAATTCCCAACCTGCAAAATTCCAACCTGCAACCTGCAACCTGCGTTTTGTACCTGCCGCACGCGAAACATTTCCGAGATCTTGCACCAAGAAAAATTAAGTCCTCGTAATTCTACCAGACTCTCCTTTGGAATGTGATAACCCGGTCTGCCAGGACATTTAGTTTCCTCAATTAACAACGGTAGTTGGCATGTTACGGTAATTCGAGTTGCTTCGCGATTGTAGAGACAAATAAATTCGCTTTCAATTTCACAATAAACGTTCACCAATTGCTGCCATAATGCCATTTCCCTGAATCAGGCTCACCAGCATTCACAACAAAATCTCTTATTTCTTCCAGTAATTGTACTGTCCTACCAAGCAAATCTATATGTCTTAATAGTTCAGAGAGAATGTCTTCGTTTTCCTGCAAACTTATTTCTTCCGACCTTTTTAAGACAAACTCTAAGAAATGTTCCACATCGTCCGCCATCTTAATTTACTGGCATCGCCCGGAGAGTGTCCGCGGCGTCGGGTAGTCGCACCAGGAAGTTTAAATGATTATTTGAAAAGTTTAAATGATTATTTGAAAAAGTTTAAATGATTATTTGCAAAAGTTTAAATGGTTATTTGCAAAAGTTTAAATGATTATTTGAAATGGTTTAAATGATTATTTGCAAAAGTTTAAATGATTATTTGCAAAAGTTTAAATGATTATTTGCAAAAGTTTAAAAGATTATTTGCAAAAGTTTAAATGGTTATTTGCAAAAGTTTAAATGATTATTTGAAAAAGTTTAAATGATTATTTGGAAAAGTTTAAATGATTATTTGAAAATGTTTAAATTCACAAACAAAGCAGTTCAAATCAAAGACATTTTAGCATAAATTTTTACAAAGATTTTTGGAATGCATATATATAGGAACACATTAAATATTGCTACAAATGGGCAGGCATATACTTCTAGCTCGCTCAGTCTATAACATACTCACACATACTGACATACACACATCAACACACATGCACACACACAATGAAATTTCATTATGAGTAATTAAGTAATTCAAATATTTTCACAAATATTTACCCTGTGGTTCTAGGCAATCTGAACCAGCGCACCCATCATCACAACACTTTTGACTTCCAGGACAGTCGTCATCAACTGAACATAGTGAGACTGGGGGAGGACATTTTGCTACTGCTGGTGGAAATGGACATTTACCGACTATTTGGAAAAGAAAAACTCAACATGAATAACTGTTCTTGCCATTTAGCCTATATGTTATATATATCTTCTAATATATATATATATATATATATATATATATATATATATATATATATATATATATATATATATATATATATATATATATATATATTATATATATATATATATATATATGAAAATGTTCTAGAGTGTGTATTATATAATTTCCATACCCAGCGCAAGCAGACCCGCGACCTTCGAATTACTAGATGTCGGCTCTACCAACAGAGCTACACGGTCAGACGGATTTTAAGACTGGAAATTATGAAATATATACTGAATGCCATAAACATACTCGTTTATATTAATTCAGCATCGAACAATACTAGTTCTGCAAGTGTTATGTTAGTTGTGTTATTGTACACTCTGTAATATGTTAAGATGAAAATGTTCTAGAGTGTGTATTATATAATTTCCATACCCAGCGCAAGCAGAAAGATGTTGTCTGCCGCGGCTGGGTCTTGAACCCGCGACCTTCGAATTACCAGATCGACGCTCTACCAACTGAGCTACACGGTCAGACGGATTTTTCTGCTTGCGTTGGGTATGGAAATTATATAATACACACTCTAGAACATTTTCATCTTAACATATTACAGAGTGTACAATAACACAATTAACATAGGTAAGATAAAGGTAACTTCACTAACTTGTTTCAACATACTGTATTTTAAAATTTAGCTTTTTATACATACGCTTATCAGCCCCGGCTGTCTGCGACGCTATCTGTTGAAAAATGATAACAAATAAGACACTAAGACACCAACTTGGCTCAGACATCTTTAAATACTAAGATTATAAATTCTTTGAGAAAATAAACAGGTTACGATTTCGCGCTTCGATCGACAAAATCAAATTCTTCGTTCGGACCCAAATTTATACGGACCTTTGGCTTTAATCCTACAGCATTTAATTTGTACCGGTTTTATACCGTTTCGAACGTGATCTACTTAACGATTCCTGTGGCGCGTATACGACTATACGTACGCTCAGGCCAGGGTGTATATTCACTGCTACAGATTTATCCGCGGGGTTGAGCTCAAATTTCTCAAGTGCGGATTTCAGCTACGGGGGGTTATTATTATTATGATTATTACTAGAACAATCTGTTGAAAAATGATAACAAATGCCCCAAACATCTTTAAGATGTCGATCTCGACAATACCAAATCTTTCGTTCGATCCCAATCGTTATCTATAGATGTTTTTTGAAGGAATTGAGAGATATAGAGTTAACGTTACTTTGATCACTGCCTCGTACCCAGGCGCTTACATGAAGTATTCAGGTAGGCATCCGACGCGCGAAGGGGCTGTTGGGAAGGGTACCTTCCCATCAGCCCCTTCGCCATCTCTCCCCACTACAATACTTCATGTAAACACGTCATATGGGCATCACTGTTTTTTTACAGAGACGCCTGGGTACGAGGCAGACTTTGATCATATGACTGATCTAGACTACTCCAGCTCACAGCTCCTCTGTAAGAAAAACTTCGCTTGTGGAAGTTGGTTTTGGGCTTATCTATAACGAAAGATTTATGGTTAACGCAGTAATAACGGGGATTATCGCAAGTGTTAAACATTTGGGTCAAATAATTTGGTGCTATAACCTGATTTGACCAGTGATGTCCATATATATCTGGAACACGAACTTCAGTCATTCTGCCCCCTGTTCAATGTTGTGTGCCATTTTTCACGTCAGATTTGATGTGGTTTGGTATTTAAATGGAGAAGGTTGGGGGTGGGAGAGGAGCAGTAATGCGTTTAACAAACAGTAATGATCCACTTATACACTCTAAAACAGAGACTACTTTAAACTACATGTGTCCCACCAACATTTGAAAGTCAGTTGTAGTACAGGCTGTTCCGCGTAACAAGTTGCTTCGAGCTTGTTGTCATCAACTTGAACTTGTTACGCGTGCAGACGAAAGCAGACTTGTTGGAACACTGACTTGTTGCGAATCTGTTAGCTTCATGCCTTCATCAACCTTGTAATAAGATTGATTGATTGATTGATTGATGATTTAATTAATCATCCCCAAAAGAGGAATCAATGATAACAACTTGGAAGCAGTGCGAACACAGATTTTTACGTGTTTAAGCTAAATTCAAGACTGTTTTACAAAATAAACATGCCAGTAAGTATACTACTACACTAAATGTATACTGATGTTAGTTCTACACAAGATAAAAAACCTCAACTTGCGAAGGAGAGAATCTGAATGTCCCAGCCAAGATTTTGATAACCTTACCGCTGATGCCAGAAGGAGGTTGGTAGGTCGTATTAAAATTTGTGCTTGAATGACTCGGTGTACTCGAAATAGCATTGTCCGCTATGTAAAGATCATGACCATATCCAAATGTTGGTCCGTATCTGTGATCCGCATAAATTGCGTGCCAAGTATTCTCATCTTTCAGTGGAGCCGTAAACGGCGGGAGATTTTCTTTATTTCGTAGAGAAAATATGAAAGATCCCTTGGCCTTTTTCCAGCGGTCAAAGCCTGTTAATTATAGCGTAAACATTGTTATGTTAAATTAAAATAGAAAGAGCGAGATAAAATTAATACGGTATCAAATGAAACTAAAATGCTGGAAAGGTTAGATGGAACATTCTTCCCAATAGCACTAAATGTTGTGATGTACTGTTAAGCAGTATATTTAAAAGCTATTTACAAAATAGAAAATGAAGTATAAAATATATTAAGTATTAAAATATAAGATGTAGTATATGAGGTAATAATGTATTTACAGATGCATATATTTGCTTTAATTATCAATGTGAGCAGCGATTTTCGTCCGAAAGGAAGAAAGGGATTTGCTCTCTTTGATTTGCCAATGTATTACCTTCCCAAGAGGCCGTAGCGTAGCCGCCAAAGATATATTGACCAACTTTCACCAATGTTACTGTGCGTTTCTTGTAGTCGCAGTTTGAGTGAAAGGTCTTGGCTGCCCATCCATCTCTAGTCGCTCGCCAACAGAGCTTCCAAGTAGTTTTTCCCCCAATCCACATTTTTAACAGTCGCCAATAATAGGTGTTCCCTGATAATATATCTGATTCCAATAACGGATCTTAACGGAGAGTCAAATAAAGAAATTGATATCTAAGTGTCTGTGAAACTCTATTTCATGCATCTCAAAGCTACATGCAGATTTGGTATATTTTATGTCATAGATGAAAACATTAAATTTAAGAAGTTAGCCCCCCTCCCACTGACCATGCCTCTGGTGCAAACTGTGCGCCTATTTGAATATAAGTTGTTTGGTAAATTGCATATTTTACAATTGAAGATGCGCGATTATTTAGGATTTATGATGGAACAGAAGACGCTTTTTGACCGTAAACAAATTTTTACAGCCTTTCGAGTAGCTCACGACTGCATATAACACCACTTCACCGGCCGAACCATCATGTAAAAATAAAATCTTATAACAAGAGATCACATGCACAAACCCGGCCTACCTTCAGGAGTCAAAGTGCTGCTGGGCAAAACTTCCGGCGTAGTTGGCGAAGCTTGTATGGATGACAAGGCCTTCAACACAGCGCTCTCTTTCCACGAAGACGTTATCATCACTGATTCGGTTGCTAGACTGGGCGTGACAAGATCTGAACTCTGGAGAATAGATGGAATTGGACTCTGTCGAATGGACAGAACTGTAGACTGGAGTATTGATTGATTACGTGTTGGAGTGATTACAATTGCAGTATAGAAAGGGAAACCTTCAGAATGTTCAACAGTAAGGACTGGACCTTGAGAAGGTTCCGGATTTATCATAGTAGAGCTAAAAATAAAAATATCATTTAAATATTAAATAATTGGTGTCAGGCTTTTCTTATTCTTTCGTGAAAGTGATCAAGAAATAAAAAATAACAATAAGGTTTCCACAAACAAAAACAATTATATTTTATCGCCATGCAAACATTCAAAGAACTTAAAAAGACTTGAGTTGGTATATTTCTACTGTAAATGAGTTAAAGTGCGAATTGTTTCAATTTACCAAACTGACGTGAACTGAGTCATTTTCGGAGGATGGAAGAGGTGTTAAATGGCTACGTATATAACTAACCCAAACCCTACCCCTACTTTAACCCCTAATCCTAACTCTAACCCCAAAATAATAAAATAAATCCAATAAGACTATATCAGCTTTAGAAATTGATCAAATGACGTAAAGCCAGCTTCATGGTTGGAAATGAGTGAAAATCTAACTGAAGTGAAATTATAATCAGACCGCAACATATCGCAGGAATCAAACCTTGGTCAGAGTGGTGTTAAGGCACATGCAATACCCATTGTTCCACCAACACCCTATCCTTTGTGCCAACTTTTGTCCACACCTGACATAAGTATTTCATGTTCCTCAGATTTTTTCTTTTTACTCATGAAAAGTACGTAAAACAATGTAAAATTTGACTATATACGTTACGCCATCATGTATGCAACAACAAATCCAAAGTATTATTTATCCAAACTATTTATTTTCTGTAGTTTGTTTCTGGGTCTGTCTGTTGGGGACCAGTTATTATTTATGGCGGGGAGTGACACCGAAGAGAAATGTGAGTTTTCTGAATGAATTTTTCTTGGTAAAAATGTTGCTGATCAACCATCCAAAATATTTTTACTAAAACTGTCTGTACCAGTGTGGGCAGCACCAATGTGAAATTGCTGTGCTGAGTGGTTATATTACTACCTGAAATAAACAAGCAGAAACTCGATCGCGACGTTTCGAGCGAAGGCCACAAATATCAATTAAAAATAAATATCCATGCCCCTGGCCAAAAACTTTACAAAAGGATTCCATTCAGTTGTCGTAATACGACCGTTATCACTTCTGTGATAAAATTTCATGTTGTCTGCACATGTACTTTCTTTAAAGACACAATCTTTTTTCTGAGACAACTGACGTTACTCAGATCGGGATCCAGGTCCGTTTTTACCAACCTTATTTGTCCTGAACTCGGCGCAGAATTTCTAAGCTCTGATCGGCTAACCATTGGTGATGACGTAGCCAAAGGCTGACCAATCTCTACAGTACCATTAAGGATTATGGTACTTGTAATATAAGAAGTGAATAAGCGAGTAACCACTGATGTTCTAGTTACAGTCTTAGCGATAACATAATGTGATGTCATAAGCGTTACTGGTAAAATTCCCAAACGTAGTGTAGTTTTAGCACCGCCTCCAAAATTGAAAATGAATGTGCAATTGTCAGCCCATTGACTGCGAACCTTTTCAGCTGATATAACCACGGTGAAATCCAAAGGGATTCTTTTAGGACAATTTGGAAAAATCGGTTTATTCGCTTTAGTTATTCTTCCACAAACGCATAGTTGTTTATCTTTATACCGTACTTCGAAGACAATTGGCTGTGCGGTACATTGGAGTCTAAAGGACGACAATGATTTGTTGCGTTCTTTGGGTACCGTGTATTGACTGAAGAATTTTTCCCGTTTTCTGCAGACGTCTAAAGAGAAAGAAAATATGTACGTTAGTTGTTTATCCAAACTATTCATTTGCTAGATTGTTTCTGGGTCTGTTTGTTAGGGACCAGTCATTACTTATGGCGGGGGGTGACACTGAAGAGAAACGTTTTTCTTGGTAAAAATGTTGCTGATCAAACATTAAAAAGTCACTGAAAATATGTTTACGCAACCTTAAATATCAATTAAAAATAAATACCCCCTGGCCAAAAACTTTACAAAACGGAAACCATTCAGTTGTCACACATATCTTTTACCACTTCTGTGACATGAGTTTGATTTTTAACTGCTTGTGCAATTTTCTGCAGTCCGAAGATTCATGCTGTCTGCACATGTACTTTCTTTGGAGACACCATATGCCTCCTGACAAATCAGAAAATGATCAAGACAGTGACTCTGATATTGATTGATTGATTTACATATTGTATTGACATAAATTATGACTGTTGACATTGCTCTTTAGTCTTCAATATTTGAGTGAACCATGCTTTTAAAATAAAAATAACCATTTTTAAAATTCACTCAAAATTTTGTTTACCCTAACCTTTTTCTCTTCGGTGCGACCCCCGCCATAAATAATGACCGCTCCCTTAGTTATTTGGATGATACAGAGGCAGGCTACAATTTCGTATGCACAAACGACTAAATTGAGAATATTGTAGGAAGTAAAACACACTCAAACTCTTAAGGAGTTTCATCAACATACAATATCTGAAGTATATATAGTTGGACATATCTGCAGAGGTAATAATATACTTGCTTCACGAAGAAACTACTGTTCGTTAAGCCGACATAGGCATGGCCATGGGTTAAGCTATCCCAGTTACACTTGGTGCCGCACGAGCGGTATCATAAATATTTCACCAAACACGTGTACGTGCGATTCATTAATACTTCTCGAACCGTGTAATTTTTCCTATACTACATGCATCGGTAAACTGGGGTTTTAGCTATATCGGCTCATGAATATAGTTCATATGATCGCAGATCACATGCATTAAATCTAACTTTTTCGCTGTCAGGAGACACTGAGCTGCTAGGCGTAACTTCGGACGATGATGGCAAATTTTGTATAAAGGACGAACTCGTTTGAATAGATGGGATTGGTCTCTGGCGAATGGACGGAACTGTAGACAGGAGTATGATGGATGGGTTAGGTGTTGGGGTGACAATGTTTCCTGTGTTTAAAGTGATTCGATCGGAAGGTTGTGATGTGAAAATTTTTCCTGGCAAAATTGTCATCAATTGTACATCAAAAGATTGACGTGCACCAACATTTAGAAAATGAAATGTGCAGTTTTCACCCCATCGATTGCGAACTTTCTCGACTGATATTTGCACGGTAAAGTTCAAAGGTAAGCGTGCATGACAAGGTTTAACTATGCCATCTTTTTTACTTCCTACATATCTACCACAGGTGCATAGATGTTTATTTGTATACCGCACTTCAAACACGGTGGATGTGGTGCATAGAAGGAGAAACCCAAGTAACGAGTTGTTCGTTGAGTTGGTTATGGTTTGGTTATTGAAAAATTTTTCCTTATCCTCACAGCTTGTACTGTTAGTACCTATACATCGAGAGAAAGAAAAATAGTCTGGTCAATTTAACCACGATGTTCTCCTGATCAAATTAACTAGAACTCCATTACCATAGCTGGAACGAACATCTTAAAATGAGAAAAATTGCAAAGTTTCAATTGGTTGCTTAAATGTTGCAAAATGAGGAAAACATAGCCCTGTGAAGTTCGCAAATTTTGTATATATTTGTACCACGCCCGTACTACAATACTTTGTTCTGTAATAGTCTGGTCAATTTAACCACGATGTATATATGTATGCTTTTATATATCTATTTGTACCTATTCTATAGTGTAGTTTTTTAAACTTGTTTTATGTATATGTAATTTATTTTGTGCAGTGAATAAGCAATCCAGCTTTTATTTTAGTTTATGGGGGAGATGGAAAGTAAGGTATCATATTCATTTACATTGGTTTGGAAAAATCGTGTGTACGTGTATTCTGTGCCTGTTATTTATATTTATTGATAATTTATGTCCGTATCTAACTTTTCCAACTCTATAAAATTATTACTTTTCATTATAGAGGTCACCTGTCTCGATTAGCCTATATGGTTATTACAGGTGGCCTTCACTCTCAGCTGATAATAATAAGAATAACTTTAATTTCTGTATATTTCCAGCTTTGATCAGCAATATGATACCTTACTTCCCGTCACCCCCTGCGCGCATAAATTAAAAGCTGGAATCGCGGCAATTGTCTATTGAGGGCCACTCGTTTATCAGTGCAAAATTAAATCGCAGAATTAAATCTACATTGTTCTCTGTCAGGAGACACTGAGCTGCCAGGCGAAACGTCAGACGATGATGGCGAAGTTTGTATAAAGGCCGAACTCTATTGAATAGATGGGACTGGACTCAGAAGAATGGACGGAACTGCAGACTGGAGTATGGGTGGGTTAAGTGTTGAGGTAACAATGTTTCCTGTACTTAAAGTGATTGAACTTTCGGGACTTTGTTATGTGACAACGTTTCCTGGCAAAATTTGCAAAACAAAGCATTTTTAACACAAAGGATTTGAGATAAAGGTGTCGAGGGCAAACAGTTCAGCGGAGAGAACATTTTCTGACACTATGCTTATTCTTCTGTTCTCAACCAATCGGTCAGCAACCTTTCTGTTTATCCACAAGAATTCCTAATTATCCTTTCACGCCCTATCAAAGCATCTGGGATTTCAAATATTCGCGCGGGTGTTGTTTATAAAGCAAAGCATGAAGTATGCAATCAAGTTGGGGCCATTAGTGTAGCAGGCTCAGGGTGTAGTATTAAGCAACGACTGTGGAAATGAAATGAAATGAAATGAGAAGATTTAGACGAGTCTTCTGGTACCAAACATGTAGCAAGGCAATCAATATTTCGAGTTTAACATGCAAGCGAATGGAATATCACTTTTCAACCGCGAAGTATATGGCTTCGCTCATTTAACACACCGGCTTGCGGATTTCAAAACAAAAAGCAGGGCTTTTATCGAGTGTAACAAAATAATAAACGGCGGATCACACGGCTATATATACTATTCGTCAACTAGAATAAAATGATTTCAACAAATGTCGATAATTGAATATATCACGAGATATATAGCCATTTGAACGAGAAACCTTTCATAGATTCCTATGTAAAGTGAGGTCAAATGTTTTAATATTCAATCGCAAAAAGCAGAGCCTGAGCGACTATACAAAGTAATGAGAACATTTTTTTCAATGTGCTACTATACGACCGCTACTTCTGGAACCAATTTCAACAAATATTCCAAGATTTATATATAGAAAATATTATATTGAAAATACTCCGCTCGCCTGAAAATAAACATAGGGCATTGCGCAGCCATTGTTGCGTGGATGCGCGTGCATCATGGTAACGTGAAACCTCATGAGAAACGAAATGTCCGTGATTTCTGGCCATGTCAAACAATCACTCAGAAACTTACCGAAATTTCAATACATCGCTGACATCAGCGTTCATCAAAAAATACCCAACATCTGAATTAACGAGATATGGCCGCTGATGTCAGAGCAAACATGTTTAATTTACTTTAGTCGTTTAGAACTTGTTGTTTGCTCCTATACAATAATATGTCCTATCTAAAATACCAGACAAGCATTTAACGTATTAATAAAGAACTCCAATAAGTAATAAATGACATCTTCACATAGCTATAAAGCTAACTTAGTTCAATATGCTTTAAAAGTTAGCTTCTACATACCTTTCTGCAGTACTACGGGAACAATCTGTTGTAAAATAATAACAAATGCGCCAATTATATACCAACTTGACCCAGACATCTTTAAATACTTAGATTATAAATCCTTTAGAGGGTATAGAGGTAAACCAAATTATTCGTTCGATCCCCAAAACGTCGCAATTATATACAGACCTTTAATCGTACAGTACATAATTTATACCGGTTTTACCCGGTTTCAAACGTGACCTACTTTAACAGATTCTTGTGGGCGCTGGTATCACTCTTTTCCGCAGAGGCGTATAGACGTTCAGTTAAACATGACTTTAATATATAGTTAAAGATACGGGCTATGTCATGCATGGTATGCTTACTTTGGCCAGGTAATTAGCATGTAAGCCTTGCTTTAAACGTTTGGCTTTGCGGAGGAGACAGGCCTACCACGTTCACTTGCCTGATTTGGATACTTATATAGAAGTAGTTTAATTAAAATACTGCTAAATAGGTGTGTCAAGTGGATTCAAAGTATATTGGCCAATGCATAGAATACAACAGAGAAGGCAAATCCTTGGCCAAAAAGCGTCTATCCCACGCGTGCGTGCTACAGGAAATCTTTCAATTCATGCCCAAAAAGCATACGTGATTATTGCCACAAGAAATCTTTAAAAAACGTGAGGCTTAAGGTTGGTTTTTTAAATGATCAAACTTCTTTGATTTTATACTGTCGACGTTTTTGTGAGGAAAATATGCTTTTCACTTTATGACTTTGCTAAATTTGCAGTTTAATCGTCTTGCTTTCCTTGTTGATGGAGTAGTCGTCCGTCTTTTTCTCGGGATGAAATGTCATTCTTATCACAAATATTATTGGTAAGTATAGGTAATCATGCGATGGCGAGTACAATTAGGGATTAATAGTACGAGTGATGTTTGGAAATTTTGCCAAAATTGGACGAGCCGCCAGGGCGAGTCCAATTTGACAAATTTCCAAACATCACGAGTACTATTAATCCCTAATTGTACGAGCAACATCGCATGATTACTTGTTTATTATTAGCATGACAAAATTGGATACGTACTTCTCAATGTCAACATCATATTGTCTCGCCAAAGCCCAGTCCTGCCAGACTTTCAACCAAAATTTGGTGCTTTTGCCAGACTTTCAACCAAAATTTGGTGCTTTTGGTTCGTATTTTCATTTAGTTCTTTTGCTAAAGCAAAATTTGCTGCTTTTGTTCGTATTTTCATCTAGTTCCTCAAGGGCAATTTCAGTTCACGTTTGTGTTTAAAATACCTTTCCGCCATTTTGTTTGTTTTGGGAAAATCATTAATTGTACTGCAGTACAATTAATGAAATAATTGTACTCCTCTCAACCAATCAGCATCCAGTAATTTTGTCTTGCTAATAATAAATGCACTAATGGTGGACATGTTGAAATAATTTAAATGAAAAGGTTGATGTTTGAACTACGTACCTAAGGGCCTGTTCATATGATCCCGCTTACCGGGACGTCTCGCTTACCGAGACGAATATTTCCGTGCGTTCATATGGAGTATTTCGTCCCGCTTGCCGAGATGAAATTACATTGTAGTTCTATAATTAGCGTATGCAAAACTTCTACATTTCAGTCAAGCAATACAAATACTTAGCGATTTTAGTGTTTTTCTTCGTTTATTTACAAGAAAAAGTATTGCTTCAGGTGGTTATTTAATACTTGTTTACAAAACAAACATAAAACCAAGTAAAAAGTGTTAAATTAAACCGGCAAGACTTGTTTCACTTCATCCCGGTAAGCGGGCTGGCGTGTTCATATGGAAAATTTTCATCCCGCCTACCTATGATCTCGGCAAATTCAAACGAGATCTCGGCAAGCGGGCCAGCTCGCTTTCTCATATGAACACAATGCAAAATTTTATAGGAAAATAGATAGGCGGCGAGATCATCGGTAAGCGAGACGTCCCGGTAAGCGGGATCATATGAACAGGCCCTAAAAAAGATGCAAAACATTTTTGACCGTTTCGAGCAAACGACTTTTGTCACGAAGTTACAGTCTCCTCCTGGCGAATTATGGGCCATGCAAGTCATGCAGCACATTGACTATTTAACAATTATTCACCGAAGTGGAATTGACTATTTAAGAATTATTCACCGAAATGGAATTGACTATTTAAGAATTATTCACCGAAGTGGAATTGACTATTTAACAATTATTTACCGAAGTGGAATTGACTATTTAAGAATTATTCACCGAAATGGAATTGACTATTTAAGAATTATTCACCGAAGTGGAATTGACTATATTTAACAATTATTCACCGAAGTGGAATTGACTATTTAACAATTATTTACCGAAGTGGAATTGACTATTTAAGAATTATTCACCGAAGTGGAATTGACTATTTAACAATTATTTACCGAAGTGGAATTGACTATTTAAGAATTATTCACCGAAATGGAATTGACTATTTAAGAATTATTCACCGAAGTGGAATTGACTATTTAACAATTATTTACCGAAGTGGAATTGACTATTTAAGAATTATTCACCGAAGTGGAATTGACTATTTAAGAATTATTCACCGAAGTGGAATTGACTATTTAACAATTATTTACCGAAGTGGAATTGACTATTTAAGAATTATTCACCGAAATGGAATTGACTATTTAAGAATTATTCACCGAAGTGGAATTGACTATATTTAACAATTATTCACCGAAGTGGAATTGACTATTTAACAATTATTTACCGAAGTGGAATTGACTATTTAACAATTATTCACCGAAGTGGAATTGACTATTTAACAATTATTCACCGAAGTGGAATTGACTATTTAACAATTATTCACCGAAGTGGAATTGACTATTTAACAATTATTTACCGAAGTGGAATTGACTATTTAAGAATTATTCACCGAAGAAGTGGAATTGACTATTTAACAATTATTTACCGAAGTGGAATTGACTATTTAAGAATTATTCACCGAAATGGAATTGACTATTTAAGAATTATTCACCGAAGTGGAATTGACTATTTAACAATTATTTACCGAAGTGGAATTGACTATTTAAGAATTATTCACCGAAATGGAATTGACTATTTAAGAATTATTCACCGAAGTGGAATTGACTATATTTAACAATTATTCACCGAAGTGGAATTGACTATATTTAACAATTATTCACCGAAGTGGAATTGACTATTTAACAATTATTTACCGAAGTGGAATTGACTATTTAACAATTATTCACCGAAGTGGAATTGACTATTTAACAATTATTCACCGAAGTGGAATTGACTATTTAACAATTATTCACCGAAGTGGAATTGACTATTTAACAATTATTCACCGAAGTGGAATTGACTATTTAACAATTATTCACCGAAGTGGAATTGACTATTTAACAATTATTCACCGAAGTGGAATTGACTATTTAAGAATTATTCACTGATCGAAGTGGAGGTGAATGACGCAAGGAGGTGAATAATTGTTTTAGCGCATACGACAACAAAACAAAAATTACAAAGACTCTATATTTAGTGCTTCTTTTAGTAAAAAGACGCTTTTTAGTGGATATTGTATTTACTTAATTGGAGCATTTTCATGATAGTGAATGATTAAAGACAATATACAGACTATAATATAACATATACAAAACATGTGTAACTCCAAAGTTCGATAACATTTTTATATTCATCTACGTTTTGACTATACTGTATTATCGTTTCGTTTAAAAAAGGTGTGTGGGGAGGGGGGGGGGGGCGACATTAATTTTTAGCGATTCCCACCAAGCTTTCGCGCTTTTCCGCTTTGCTTGGGGACAACCTTAATTGAAATAGCTATTTGGCACTTACCACTTTTCAAAACTTTTCTTTTCAAACTTCTAAAATTAAATCACATATTCTTACCTTGCTGTTAAAAATAAGTTTTCCTGCTGTCGCCATGCCCATAATCTTTCGCTCTCTATCGCAACGCCTATAGCAACAGCCAAAAACCGATCTGGTTTCGTCCATTTCAAATTGATTCAGCTGTTGTCTGAAAACTATTGCCGTTAATAATGTCGTTTCAAATTATTGGCAGACTTGGTAAAAATTTGTTAAACTCAGCATTACGATGAGCCTGTTGGAATGGACTTGTTATAACTTGACAACCAGATCATTCATCAACTTGTCAACAAGTTGTTCCAAGAAGCATGAATGGCTCAGTTAATGTCAACAAGCTTGGTTGGTACAAGTTGTTCCAACAACTTGCTACACGTCTATGAACCAACAAGTTGTAACAAGCTTGATGACAACAAGCTTGTTACAACTTGATAAAATAACAAGCTTGTCACAACTTGTCAACAAGCTTGCAACAAACTTGTTAAGCCAAGTAACACGATGCGAGATTTTCACGTGTGAAGAACACTTTCATAATTGTGATTGTAAATATTTTTTGTGTGTGTATCCTACTAAGCTTTCTTGGCCTCATTCCGGTTCCAAAATTCAATTGAATTTTAGTCGTAGAAACAAGGCCATGCAAAAAGTCTTAACAATAAGATCTACACAAAACCCTATTATGAAAATGGTGGGCTAAAGAAATTTCCATAATATGTATAGGAAACTAACTGTATACGCATAAATTTGAAATAATAGGGTTCACACTATACGTTCACATGACCGTAAGAGATCACATCCATCAAATTTACCTTTATCTTTTTCTTTGCTTGACATTGTACTGCTAGGCAAAACTTCAGACGTTGGCGAAGCTTGTATAAATGACGAGGCCTTCGAAACAACTCTATCTTTCACCAGTGACATCATTAGCACTGATTTGGTGGCCCGACCATGTTGAAGAGATGGAACTGGACTCTGCTGAATGGACGAAACTACAGTCTGGAGTATGGGTAGGTTACGTGTTGGGCTAACTGTGTTTCCTGTGTATAAAGTGATTGAACTTTCAGAAGGTTGTGGATTTACAAAACTGGACGTAACAACTTTTCCTGGCGAAATTCCCAAATCTAGCGTAGTTGTAACACCGTCTACAAAATTGAATCTAAATGTACAATTGTCACCCCATCGACTGCTAACTTTTTCAACTGATATAACCACGGTGAAATCCAGAGGGAATCTTTTGAGGCAATTTAGAAAAGTTGGTGTATTCGCTCTAGTTATTCTTCCACAAATACATAGTTGTTTATTTTTAAACCACACTTCGAAGACAGTTGGATGTGCAGTACATTGGACGCTAAAAGACGACAATGATTTGTTGTGGTCTTCGCCGGGTACCGTGAATTGACTGAAGAATTTTTCCCGTTTTCTGCAGGCGTCTGAAGAGAAAGAAAATATGTACCGCGTTAGTTGTTTTAAGCTTATCCAAACTTGCCTCTTTCTTTTTTGTTGGCTTGTTTTTGTCTGTCTGTTTATTTATATCTTTTTTCTTATTTATTCCGAATGAGCGAAATTTATATGAATTGTACAATTTTGAATATGGAGTCCGAATGCATTCATTCTGTCCGGTGATATAAAAAATATGGACATAAATTTGTGAAAGCTTCAACCAACATGTTTGTCATTTTATATACTGCCCTTTTCCGTATATATGGTTTGCCCTCATAAATATAGTGGTTCAGATTTGACTTCCACTACCACCACCGCTACCATTAAGGAGCCATAAACCAATCAGATGCATTTGAATTATCCGATTGACCAATCAGATGCATTTGGGCTATCCGATTGACCAATGAGATGCATTTGAACTATCAGATTGACCAATCAGGTGCATTTGAACTATCCGATTGACCAATCAGATGCATTTGAACTATCCGATTGACTAATCAGATGCATTTGAACTATGCGATTGACCAATCAGATGCGTGTTAAGCCAGGGAAAGGTAGTGGTAGTGAAAACTGAACCTCTCTAATAACTATAACGCTGTGGCAATTAAAATACATTTGGAAGATTATATTGTTCATAAATATTCAAGGTTATATTCCGTGTATTTATATCTCTATCACCTAGCTTCCATATTTAATAATACAGTGAATTCAACTCCAAGCGCAATGGAAGTGTTTATTATTACAAGATTAGTTATACATACATTTATGCATATTTCTGGCACTATCAGTTGTTATTAGTCAAATTGATCAGTACAATTATTATGTCTCGTATCTATGCTAATCAAGTGAATTAAGAGATATAAACCAATCATTTTAAACCGATAATTCCCACAAAAATGCAGGACAAGTACTTTCCAGCGATCGTATATCATCCACGTCACGAGTTTGGAATTGTTTTCCAACATCCTAACATATCTTTAAGTATAATTTAATAGATTGTTGCATACGAGACTATATATATTATTCAAGGACCTGAGAACATAGAGATCTGTACGTTTAAATTGTAATCCTTGTCGAAGTTTAAACAATGTTATCAACTCAGTGCTGTTTCTAGATATTTGGTTTTAACTGTTGTGGTGTCCCCGCCATCCGTCACTAGTATAATATTGTATTTGTATTGTATGCATGTCATTCGTGTATTTTAGGCCAGGGTCAAACGTCGAACTTTTCATGTGCCGAACCTAATGTTAATGAGCTAAGTTCTTTGTTTCACTTCATTTGCATTAGGTTGAGTACATGAAAACCGTGACCTTATATCTGGCAAAGTTGAATAAATAACAAGTATATATATGAACTGTCAGGAACTTAATTGCAATTTAATGTAAGAAAAGTTCGTCGACGTTGTTGTTTCAACTACGTTGTCGTTTTAACCAGGTTTTAACTTACCAGCCGATCTATATGTTTACAGTCAAAACGGAATACCTGCACATTTCAGTTACTTATGTAATTTGTTGTGTAATACTGTATTTCTGTAGAAGCTCGGAAAAATTTACCGACAAGAAGCCGCTTATTCTTGACTTATGTTTGTTTGTTGGCATTATTTTCGATGGAATATGCGTTGGCTAATTAATAAATTCCACAATAGCTATTAGTTATACCTTAATGCACGATTTTTGAACAAACACTTTTTCAGCAGCTACAGAAATACAGTATTACACAACAAACTACACAAGTGGAAGTGTGCAGGTATTTCCATTTCGACTGTAACAGCGCGAAACATTTATTTTCTTCTTAAATTTAATGCTTGTATTTGTTCGTAGCATTCTCAAAATAAAATTTCCATGCCCTTAATGGTGCTCACTCACATTCGATTACATATAGCGTATCACACCTGCTTATAAAGCAACTTCGTTGCAACATACTTTAAAACATATACTGAAATCGACGGAGAATCGCTGTGAAATAATACAAAATACAGCGATAATATACCATCTATATGCTTTAAAATTTAGCTTCTACATACCTTCCTGTAGCACTATAGGAGCAATCTGTTGTAAAATTATAACAGATGCGCCAATTATATACCAACTGGGTCCAGACATCTTTAAATACCTAGTCTTAGATTATAAATCCTTTTAGAAAATATAGAGGTTAATAAGGTTCCCCGCGCTACGATCGACAAAACCAAATTCTTCGTTCGATACCCAAAACGTCTCAATTTATACAGACCTTTAATCCTACAACACTTAATTTGTACCGGTTTCGATTTACCCGGTTTCGAACCTTAACAGATTCCTGTGGGCGCCAGTATCACACTCCTCCGCAGAGGCGTAACTGACGCATGAGAAAAGCGTGCCGTATCTATATATGTGATAGCTAGAGATTTCCCTTGATTTACTGTAACTTTAACTTTGATTTTCTCGACTTACACAATGCATTTTTTGAAAATTACTTCGCTAGTGAACTTACTATAGATCGCAGTGCGTGTTTTATCAGACCTTAAGCCCGCCGCACACGAGCGCACTTGTCGCGTGTACTTGTTATTCGTGACAAGTTGGATCGACAAAATTTCCTCGTGTGCGGGCAACATTTACAGCATTTTCGTCATTCGTGACATGTAAACCAAATATCAAACATGTTTGATATTTTTCGTCATTCGTGACAAAAAAATTCTCGTGTGCGGCGAGCAAACGACAAGCGCGCCTGAATAGGACACTTTGCGCATGCGTGCAATTTGCAGAATTAAAAACAAGACACGAGCTCGTGATTTTGATTTGCCATGTTGTATCATAACTTACTCCCGTCAACACCCTTGCAGCTCTATTTTGGAATCTCTGTAGTTTTTCTTTTAGTACAATTCCGCAGTTATCCCACAAATTATCAATTATCCGCTTCGTATCTTTATATACGGTAAAACACTGCTGCACATATGTTTTAAACAGTACTTAAAACACGACTTTAATACATAGTTAAACTTAAAGATACGGGCTATGCCATGGTATGTGCTTGCTTTGGCTAGGGTAATTAGCCTTTAAGCGTTAGTGCATACACGTTAATTTGGCTACTTATAAAAATAGTTTAAAATACTGCCAAATGGGTATGTCAAGTGGATTCAAATTATGTTGGCTAATGTATAGAATACACCAAAAAGGCATCTATCCTTCGTGCGCGCCACATTAACGTTGGTTTACATTATCAAAGTTCTTTGATTTTATACTACCGATGTTTTTGTAGTCAAAATATGCTTTGCACTTTATGACTTTGCAAAATTTGCAGTTTGCTAAATTTGCAATTTGTTTTAGTTTGGTTATTATAGGTGATGTTGCACATTATTTCCCAGTAAACTTTTATATCTTTCTTGTATTTTTTCCGGCTACATAATCGCATGTGTGCAAATAAAATTATTATTATTATTATTATTATTATTATTATTATTATTATTATTACCTTCCTTGCTGGTGGAGTATAGTCGTCTGTCGTCCGTCTTTTCCTCGGGATGAAATGTCATTCTTATCACATAATCGTTAAAGGCACAGTTCAGCCTTTTGAACGATGGTTTTTAAGGCGCATTTCAGCCCTTTTAATTGAAAAAACTAACTAGGAAAATCAATTAAGCATAATTCAAGACCGCCAAACTTAATGTTTTTAACATTCTAAAACATTTTTATTGTCAAAAACATCGAGTTTACTGATTTTGAATTATGCTTAATTGATTTTCCTAGTTAGTTTTTTCAATTAAAAGGGCTGAAATGCGCCTTAAAAACCATCGTTCAAAAGGCTGAACTGTGCCTTTAAACTTCAGTTGATCTAATTAAAATCTTCAAAGTTGAATATTTTTGGCATATGCATGACTAATGATGGACATGATGAAATAATTTAACTGAAAAAATTGATGTTTGAACTACCTAAAAAAGATGCAAAGCATTTTGACCGTTTCGAGCAAACGACTTTTGTTACGAAGTTCACAGTCTCCTCCTGACGAATTATGGGCCACGTCAGCACATTGACTATTTAACAATTATTCACCAAAGTGGGGGTGAATAACGCAAGGCCTATAGGAGCTAGGTGAATAATTGTTTTAGCATAATTACACGCTGTACCACAACAAAACAAAAACGACCAAGACTCTATATATTTAGTGCTTATTTTAGTAAAAAGACGCTTTTCAGTGGATATTTCCTTCATTGGAGCGTTTTCATGATAGTGAATGATTAAAGATGCGGTAAAGTCCGTTCTGCGCATATATTCTGCGCATCAAAACATTCCATCAGTGGGGGAGCAACCTTTGGAATGTTGTTAATATTTCGCACCTTCCGAACTTTCTTGAATTGAATCTCTAGTCTGTATTCATTTACAAGCATAACGAACCAGAAAAGTGTTAAAAATTCAGTATAATATATATCTAATCATATTTTACAACTGTAGCAGTGAGTTCAAAATGTAAACAAAGCGTTTGTTTACATTACGGACTTTACATCACCTTTAAAGACAATATACAGACTAAAATATAATATATATTATTTTTTCAAGGTTCCCACGACTATATAACCAGTATTTTCATTATACAGCATGCACACAGTTAATATATACAACCCCGACCCGAATGCTGCTGTATATAGTTTATGAAATGCACATATATACGAATTTCTTGATGACGTATTGAATCTTTACTCTTTAGAATTAGAAGCTATATGCATGATGTCTAGGGTTACGCTGTACTGGCGCCTTGACTTAAGGTAAGCGAAACTATACTACTTCCTTTATTATATGAAATCGATCACTCTTTATAGCATTTCGCAAACCAAGACACAATCAGAATAATACAGTGTATATACAATTTGGGAAAAAGCCAGCACACAACTGGAATGCTGGATAGATAAATGTATATTATATACAATCATTTTCAATGTGTTTGGGACAGATATCCCCCAAAACCTATAATTTCAACAAATTTTGGTCCCCCGCGCCCTTATTTAATGTTGTGTCCCAGGTGTCACCTTATTTTGATGAGCTATAGATAGTGTCTGGATTGGGAAAACAACATTGATTGGGGATATAGGGCCGGGTGATACACATGTGTAGCCTATAATAAGTTGCATTGATGGAATAATGATCTATATAACCACAAGTGTCCCAACAACTTTTGAAAGTGATTGTAGATGGATAGCAGTGTGAATTATGGACATAAAGGAAACTTTGTTAAAATGTATTCAAAAGTCCTTATCTGTCCCTAAAATCCCTTATTTGTAAATTCGTTCACAACATGTTCCGGCCCAACAAAATTGACCATTCGAGGATCGTCAGCTATTACGAATGTTTATGTCCGTTGCTATTGATTCACATCCAATGTCGCCAGCATAAGAATAATTCTGTGCCTCTAATTCGGCTACTTTCGTCCGCCATATCAATTCGCATTTTCTGTTGTTATGCTCATAAATCGAATGAATTATTCTGTGGTGATCGTTTAGAATCCAATTCCCTCTCGGTTTTCCACGCCTTCCGTTTTCTCTGATACTCATGACGTACCTAAAGAGCGATCATAGTCAAGCATGGGTAAAAAATGCCTTTCAAAAAAAAAATATTCTAACTATACGGTATGGGGTAGATAAAAAGAAAAACATACCTCCGTGTTAAATAAACAGTAAAGAATGAATATGAAAAAGCCCTGTAAAACCAGAAAATAAAAAGTCTTAGATGATTTTTCAAATATCGCCCAGCAATTCTATCATAAACTATCACATGTCATAAACTCACCTGAAATGCATTACATACAGCAAAAATATATTGAAAAATTATAGAATCATGAGCGAACGCCACAATACCAAAAATCCAGGTCGTCCCAAGGATTGGAACAAGCATTGCCAGAGTACGCATTGCTGATCTGAAACACATCAGAAAACCGAGATTTTAGTTCCACTTCGACGCGAAAATCTATAAAACCGTTCATTGGTCTGATAGTCATATTTTCGGTCGATTAATAAATGAAGACAGTAGGGTCATTAAGCGCGTAGGACGGCAAAGCATAGGACGTCGACGTATGGAATTCAATTCAGAGTGGATTTTCTATACATTTATGCTAGACCTAACCCGGAGCAGTTGCAAAAAATGAAACTATAGTCCCTCTGGCAGGAATCAAACCTGCGGCCCTGCGATTTCGGTGCAGCGCTCTAACCAACTGAGCTACAGAGAGACAGTTGTCGAGATCTAACCAACTGAGCTACAGAGAAACAGTTGTCAAGCTCTAATCAACTGAGCTACAGAAAGACAGTTGTCAAGCTCTCATCAACTGAGCTACAGAGAGACAGTTGTCGAGCTCTAACCAACTGAGCTACAGAGAGACAGTTGTCGAGATCTAACCAACTGAGCTACAGAGAGACAGTTGTCAAGCTCTAATCAACTGAGCTACAGAGAGACAGTTGTCGAGCTCTAACCAACTGAGCTAGAGAGAAACACTGAGTTGTTGAGCTCTAACCAACTGAGCTATACAGAGAGACAGTTGTCGAGCTCTAACCAACTGAGCTACAGAGAGACAGTTGTTGAGCTCTAACCAACTGAGCTACAGAGAAACAGTTGTTGAGCTCTAACCAACTGAGCTATACAGAGAGACAGTCGTCGAGCTCTAACCAACTGAGCTACAGAGAAACAGTTGTTGAGCTCTAACCAACTGAGCTATACAGAGAGACAGTTGTCGAGCTCTAACCAACTGAGCTACAGAGAGACAGTTGTCGAGCTCTAACCAACTGAGTTACAGAGAGACAGTTGTCGAGCTCTAACCAACTGAGCTACAGAGAAACAGTTGTCGAGCTCTAGCCAACTGAGCTACAGAGAAACAGTTGTCGAGCTCTAACCAACTGAGCTACAAAGAGACAGTTGTCGAGCTCTAGCCAACTGAGCTACAGAGAAACAGTTGTCGAGCTCTAACCAACTGAGCTACAGAGAGACAGTTGTCGAGCTCTAACCAACTGAGCTACAGAGAGACAGTTGTTGAGCTGTAACCAACTGAGCTACAGAGAGACAGTTGTCGAGCTCTAACCAACTGAGCTACAGAGAGACAGTTGTCAAGCTCTAACCAACTGAGCTACAGAGAAACAGTTGTCGAGCTCTAACCAACTGAGCTACAGAGAGACAGTTGTCGAGCTCTAACCAACTAAGCTACAGAGAGACAGTTGTCGAGCTCGAACCAACTGAGCTACAGAGAGACAGTTGTCAAGCTCTAACCAACTGAGCTACAAAGAGACAGTTGTCGAGCTCTAACCAACTGAGCTACAGAGAAACAGTTGTCGAGCTCTAACCAACTGAGCTACAGAGAGACAGTTGTCGAGCTCTAACCAACTGAGCTACAGAGAGACAGTTGTCGAGCTCTAACCAACTGAGCTACAGAGAGACAGTTGTCAAGCTCTAACCAACTGAGTCACAGAGAGACAGTTGTCGAGCTCTAACCAACTGAGCTACAGAGAGACAGTTGTCGAGCTCTAACCAACTGAGCTACAGAGAGACAGTTGTCGAGCTCTAACCAACTGAGCTACAGAGAGACAGTTGTCGAGCTCTAACCAACTGAGCTACAGAGAGACAGTTGTCGAGCTCTAACCAACTGAGCTACAGAGAAACAGTTGTCGAGCTCTAACCAACTGAGCTACAGAGAGACAGTTGTCGAGCTCTAACCAACTGAGCTACAGACAGACAGTTGTCGAACTCTAACCAACTGAGTTACAGTTGTCGAGTTCTAACCAACTGAGTTACAGAGAGACAGTTGTCAAGCTCTAACCAACTGAGCTACAGAGAAACAGTTGTCGAGCTCTAACCAACTGAGCTATACAGAGAGACAGTTGTCGAGCTCTAACCAACTGAGCTACAGAGAGACAGTTGTCGAACTCTAACCAACTGAGTTACAGAGAGACAGTTGTCGAGCTCTAACCAACTGAGTTACAGAGAGACAGTTGTCAAGCTCTAACCAACTGAGCTATACAGAGAGACAGTTGTCGAGCTCTAACCAACTGAACTACAGAGAGACAATTGTCGAGCTCTAACCAACTGAGCTACAGGGAGACAGTTGTTGAGTTCTAACCAACTGAGCTACAGAGAGACAGTTGTCGAGCTCTAACCAACTGAACTACAGAGAGACAGTTGTCGAGCTCTAACCAACTGAGCTACAGAGAGACAGTCGTCGAGATCTAACCAACTGAGCTATACAGAAAGACAGTTGTCGAGCTCTAACCAACTGAGCTACAGAGAGACAGTTGTCGAGCTCTAACCAACTGAGCTACAGACAGACAGTTGTCGAGCTCTAACCAACTGAGCTACAGAGAGACAGTTATCGAGCTCTAACCAACTGAGTTACAGAGAGACAGTTGTCGAGCTCTAACCAACTGAGCTACAGAGAGACAGTTGCCGAGCTCTAACTAACTGTGCTACAGAGAAACAGTTGTCGAGCTCTAACCAACTGAGCTACAGAGAGACAGTTGTCGTGCTCTAACCACAAGTTCATGTATAAATACTAAAATGATGCCAATGTACGATGTGTATGCCAGAGGGCTGCTTCTTGTCATGTCCCGTATACAGGATTACGCCTTGCTTAAGTTCGCTAGTGCAGACAGGGGACGAGGTGGTGAGTGAGGGGACTGCTACAAAATTTAATTTCTTATACTTCTCTTTTCGATGTCCGGGATCATTTCGCAACAAGGTCATCGTTGTTCTTAAAACAGCTGCTAAAATTAAAGTATTTACCTAGAAAAAAAGAAAATACATAGTGATAGAATTAAATCCTAAACCAAGTCAATCAATCCAGCATAACGTTATATGACAACAGGTTTAGTTTTTTACTCACAAGTATTACAAATAATGCTGGTCCAATGAAAACCCAGATTGATGCTGACTTTGTGGACAACCAACAACTAAAAATTTATTGTAAATATAATTGTAAATATAAGGTAATCAAATTATTATCTATAAACTTTATAAAGAATGGATGGTAAATGGTATGACTTGACATAAACGTGCATATCACGAAGTGTACTTACTGTTTTTCAGACATTAAGTCATATCGAAGTATTCCTGCTGTTATTAGAACAACAACTGCTGGAGCACCTGTAGTATATTAAATTATAATATGAAAATTAACATCTTGTAAACTCACGATATTTGAGTTATTTAAACAATGCAAGAAGAATTATTTAAGGTATACGGGTAATAAATATCGAGATTTTGGGCATCTCGTTCGATTGAACTAATGCGTTTTTGTACATGAAATTTTCGTACGTATAAATTTCTATACACGTTTAGACTGAGGTATTTCTTACCCCATCCAATGATGTGATAGTATTTTCTCCTTCGATGTTCATCTCTACCAAACACTCGGATGACCAGGAAATACAGATGGATTCCCTCCACCAACATCCATGCGAATACAGCAAGGTATAGATAGAATGCGAGGACGGTTGAAGCAAAACAAATATCCTGAAAAATACAAAAATTATTTCTAAGCATGGAAAAAAATTCCTTCTCTGGAAATACAACATGAAGACAAAAAATTTCATGTATATACCAACTGAGTATTTTCCGGCTCAAATCGGCCTAAATATACTGTACTACATATAGTGGCCATGCATGGTTTTAAATTCGGGGAAAGATGTCTGTCAATCATAAGTGTGAGCAGTGCGATTATTCTTTCCACCCGGGATTATTCTTCTAGTGCACACAGCACACGTAAAAATCTCACAACTTGTGTACGAGATGTGTTCGCAACAAGCTTGTAGCAACTTGTCAACAAGTTGTAACAATGTTGTTAGTTTGTCAGGTTGCTACAAGCTTGTCACTCACAACTTGTTAACAAGTTGTTGAATTGCAGGACGATAACAAGTTGTTGGAACAACTTGTAACAAGTCTGTTGAGCTCAACAACCTTGTAGAAAGTTGCCAACAACTTGTCAACAAGCTGGGAACGAGCAGTGCGAACACATACTGTTGACAAGTTGTTGGAACAGCATTGATACAAGTCTGCTGCAGGTTTGTTACAACTTGTGTGTTTTTACGAGTGTAATGCTTAAATTCAATACGTACTGATACATGTGTATGAATCTGTGTTGGTGCATGGTATAGAAGTTTGTGAAAGTCTCTAATGATGATTTTGCCTATACAGTTTAATGCCACTTATACAAAAATCATGTTCATTTATATAAACTTTAGCTTTGATGTTCTCGGGTTAGACAACGTTTATTTTTATTCGCCAATTAACTTACTCATCACACATATCTGATAAAGCACTCCTGCTTGTGTTTTAAATAGTACATAGATCATATCTCGACTAATGAGAGTTGATCGTTCCTGGGTTTCTAGGAATTTAGATTGATAGAGCTGTCCAGTATAAATAAACGTTTTTAGTCAAGAAAATGTTGGCACTTACTCTGTGATTTTCAGCGAAGTTTCCAAAGAGAAATACTAAGTCAGCGAGACCCAATGCAAGGACAAGATTCAGATGAACAATTGTCTTTAACGTTTTTGTGATTCTATGGTTTAACAAGGAAAAGATAGTAAACAAAACTGATAGAGTTATCCAGAAAAAATACAGTTGGTTTGGTTTGGTTTGGTTTGGTTTGGTTTGGTTTGATTTGGTTTGGTTTGGTTTGGTTTGGTTTGATATGGTTTGGTTTGGTTTGGTTTGGTCTGATTTGGTTTGGTTTGGTTTGGTTTGGTTTAGTTTAGTCTGGTTTGGTTTGGTTTGGTCCGATTTGGTTTTGTTTTGTTTGATTTGATTTGGTTTGTCTGATTTGGTCCGGTTTGGCTTGATTTAGTTTGGTTTGGTTTGGTTTGGTCTGGTCTGCTTTGGTTAGGCTTGGTTTGGTTTGGTTTGGTTTGGTTTGGTCTGGTCGGGTTTGGTATTGTATACAGTATTGTATTGTATTGTATTGTATTGTATTGTGTTGTGTTGTGTTGTGTTGTGTTGTGTTGTGTTGTGTTGTGTTGTGTTGTGTTGTGTTGTTTACTTTAGTTTAGTTCAGTACAACCCACCTCAATATAAGATAAACAACAAATGTGATAAGACACCCAACGGATGATAAAGACAATCCAACATAGGTTATCAACTCCAGTTTCATCTCGTCTTCTTCTGAGCCCTGGCGAATATGGAGAACACAAACATGACGAGTTATCTCAAACTCTTTACATCATGGTAATTTCACTCAAGAATATAGGGATTTATAACCTCCTATACTCTAGATTCTATTGGAAACCTACTCATCATAAATATCCTGGCTTCAAACATATCAGTCCTTACTACTTACTTCCTGGACTGGAAACAAAACAGTAAACTTGGTCAAGTGTTTACACTGACATGTCGTATGCGTCTCATTTTTGTCAACGAGAGAGCAACCATCATCTGACCAGCGACCAAATTTGCCATCTTTTTTATACCTGGTAAACATAAATGCACTCCTTAAGTTGCATTAAATTTATTTATCATAGGGTAAAAACATAAAAATAACATCTGTGGTGCTTTATAGAGTCAAACTGGAAATAATTTCACACTGGAAGGAGGTGATCTTATTCGCCTGTGTTCTAAAAGCTCACTCACACTCAAAGAGTGGAGGTTCAATCTGAGCTTCCCTTGAGTGTCAATGCTGTTTTTGAAGAGATGTAGGGTTGGTGTCGTACCTTACTAGTACTCACCCTCCAGCTATTCAAAAACAGCATCGACACTCAAGGGAAGCTCACATTGAACCTCCACTCTTTGAGTGTGAGTGAGTTTTAGAATACAGGCGATTATCTCACTAACCCCTGTTATACCAACGGCTCATTCAGACTGACACTTACTGTGAATCTTCGATCCAGAACACACAGTGGCTTTGCCCATTGATAGGAACCTTAACAAAAAAATTAACCATGTTGACAAAATCACTGCTTTAAAAGCGAGGTTATATATATATCCTACTCTATTCAATATGAATATATGTATATAGATATCTTGATCAAGCTGCGGTACAGCTCCTATTCACAAACAATTTACTGCTGCTGCTTGATCGTAAGAACGTTTATCTGCCATATAACCATCCTGGATTTGGTACAATCGTACGTTCTCGCAAATATCACTCGACAGAACTATTTCTAGAAAGGTTTTGTGGATTGAAATCTCGAATGTAAATTTTATACATTTCTTGACGCCCGTTTACACTTGCAATTTTTTGCTTCGATTTCTTGTGCGATTAAATAAGTTATGAATGTTCCGAGTATATCACCCGTATTCTAAAAGCTCACTCACACTCACAGTCAATGAGTGGAAGTCCAATCTGAGCTTCTCTCGAGTATCGTTGTTATTTTTGAATAGCTGGAGGGTTAGTGTCATACCTTACTATGTGACTACTCACCCTCCAGTTTTTCAAAAACAGCATTGACACTCGAGAGAAGCTCAGATTGAACCTCCACTCATTGAGTGTGAGTGAGCTTTTAGAATACAGTAGGGATGGGCGATACCAGCTTTTTCATTCGATACGATATTTGCTCGATATTTGCCGTTTTTTTCCGATATCGATACCGATATCGATATTTTCCCAACTTGAAATCATTAACAACGGCCACAACGCTAACAATATAAACATTGAATAATATATGTCAGTGATTGCAACCAACATAACCAGAAACTCCCATCCTTCCCGTGGACCATTATAGCACTATAGAAAATTAACTATTTACGCCTATTTAGGCTTTTTGGTATCATTTTCATGATGATGCCGCTGACCAAAATGAAAAATATCGCGGGCGCAGAAATATCGAAACATCGATATTTCTTGCCAGTATCGATACTTTTCTTCAAAACCCTGGTATCGATAGTATCGAGTATTTGGTATCGATATCGGCCCATCCCTAGAATACAGGCGTATGTCTCATTGATGTACCCTCATCTGAACATTCATAACTCATCCACTCGTTCACATCCATCAGAAGAAGAAAATCGCACTTAGAATCGCAGCAGAAATTGCAAGTGTATAAACGGGCCTTTGGAGGGCCTAACCAGGAGCATTCGGACATCCGATTAACATTGGTCGGGATACGACAAGAATCTCACCATATTCAAACCACTGAGCTTTACTATATTGCTGGAGGACCTGCTCCTACCTCTCGACAGTCTATATAAGCATTTGCAGGGTTTTTTTTTATCACACTCAACAGGAAAATAATTGCAAGACATGCTTAAATAACCATAATGGGCTAACTTAAATCAAAGAAGTGTCGGCAAAAACAGCTAAAAACATGGCGGATTTTCACGTTTGCTGACGCCACTGGTGCTAGTTGACCATGTAGTATAGTATAGTTCAGTGATTCAAACCCACTACCGATAATTAATAGATAGTTATACCATGGATAATAAAATAAATGGATAGGAAACTAGCTGACGTGACCTAATGTTTTCAATGGGCTGATGGCGTGATTGGATGTTGAAACCTAGTTGCAAACCAAATTCTCAAAAACGGCATGTTTATCAATAATACAGCTAAACATTTTAGTCAAAGAGCAAATGAATATAACTACGCCATTCTATGATGAAATCGCTAAGTATTCCCAGTCAATTTTAGCAAATATTTCAAGCACTAAACAGTGAAAAAGGCATCCCAAATTTCGTTAAAATTGGGGACGCCAATTTCGTAGCTACAAATGTAAAAAAATACAAAACAAAGACGAAAAACATTTACATGGAATACTTTGTCGTGGCTTAGGCATGTTTTTAAAACAATTAGACCGGTTTATGCTTCAATATTACTCTTTTAAGGCGGAAAATATAGCGAAACAACAAAAATGCAGAGAACTTTGCAATACGCGTGACGTCACAGATTTCAACTAGGTTGTTTTTGCTTACGTCAGCGAGAGTCCTATCCATTTATTTTATTATCCATGGTTATACCTTAGTATTTCTGAAAACCAACGTAAAAGGCTTGTTCATGTCTTTCCAAATTTCATCTTCCATGGACGCGCTGACTATGTTGTTTAAGAGATGATTTTCTTTGTGGCCAGTCTGTTCCAGCATTTCTTGCAATGGCTTGAACATCATGAATACAGCCGTTCTACGTCCTTTTACGGGTAGAAATATAATTTCATCTCAAGGCCAGATTTTGGTGGATAAAAAGTTGTCAAATTTTCACTCGTTTCAATTTTTGTAATTAAAGCTGTGGTAGAACTTGTATATGTATGTGTAGTGTATCTTCGTCCTGTAATGCAACTTAATTTAAGTTTCCTGACTTCCTAACTTTTTTACTTGTTTTGGGAAGCCTCTACACTTTTAAATATCATGTTAAAATCTTTGTGTAACTATTTATATGTAGGTAAATAAACATTTGTTGTTGTTGTTGTTGTTGTTGTTGTTGTTGTTGTTGTTGTTGTTGTTGTTGTTGTTGTTGTTGTTGTTGTTGTTGTTGTTGTTGTTGTTGTCGTCGTTGTTGTTGTTGTTGTTGTTGTCATTGTTGTCGTTGTTGTCGATGTCGTTGTTGTTGTTATCATTTCATTAACCTTACCCGGGAAGTGCATGATTTTTTAGGAAAGGTGCAAAACATCTAGCTTACCTATGCCTGGCGGAAATGCTCTTTCTGGGAAACTAATGCTGTCGTAATCCGGCAATGAAAAGTTCTCCAAACTTCCAGGAAAGTTAAAGCCATCATGTGTATCCAAATTCATAGAAACAGCAGCAAAAACTAAAGTAGGAAGAAAATGAAAAAGTTTGAGTTTTGGCTGTTAAAAAAATTAAGACGCTCACACGCTGTGAAATAATGTATTAACGTTATACTATTAAGATTTTAAATAAAAGACGTACCAAAACTTTTAACGCGCACAACATACGAAGCAAAAGGCCTTTTGTTGAGCGACATGTTCTTGCCTATCTCGAATCCAAGTCGCTCTAGCTCAGTCAACAACTGAAACTAAAATTTTAAGAAAGTTAATGAAATGCTTTTTACAAAGTTAGTACTTATTTACGATTTACGGAATATACTTTTCATGCGGTAATTATGGAATATGAAATTATTGTCATTTTAGAAGAACACAGTTATTCCAACCTTCGATTTTTTATATTTTCCGTTCCTAAACAGATCAATAGCAGTAGAAATTCCAGTCTAAACAAAGAACAACACAAGTAGTCTACGTTTTTAGTTAGTGTAAATTTTATACATTTATTTAGACCTGACCCCAATGGACCAATTCTCAATTAACCAAAATGTTGATCTCAACAAGTCTAGACAAAATTCTATCACAGCATGAAAGAGCATCACAAAATTAGTAATGTTGCAAAGTTTCGTTGCGAAATGTTGTAAAATGAGAATAATATAGCCCTGTGAAGTTTGTAATTTTCAGTCATTTTGCATTACGAGCGGAAAACGGTCACCACTTTTCCAAAATTTTGATCTCAACAAGCCTGAACAAAAATTTCATCACAGCTTGAAAGAACATCACAAAATTAGTAATGTTAATCCAAAGTTTCGTTGCGAAATGTTGTAAAATGAAAATAATATAGCCTTGCAAAATTTGCAATTTTCAGTCATTTTATAGCCTAAACAAAAATTTCATCACAGCTTGAAAGAACATCACAAAATTAGTAATATTCCAAAGTCTCGTTGCAAAATGTTGTATAAAATGCGGATAATATAGTCATTTTGTATTACGCACGGAAGTGGTATAAGTTTAATTGCTCTGAAGATGTTGTGAACAATACAACGAAACGTTAGCCAATAAATTTTATATTTTTGTTATGTCTTGTCTGAAAGTCATTTGCTGGACTTTAATTTTCATTTTTAAATTACGCTTTCCACCCGTTGTATCAATCGCTGCTGTTTTAAACTTGTTGAGTTCAAAATTTTGATTAATATACAGAGTCCATTTGTTGAGCTCTAGCCATAAGTGCATGCGTATATACTACTAGGGTGGTGCCATAGTATGGTGTATGAGTAAGTATGTATGATTTTGGCATCTCACTCGATTGAACTAAGGATTTTGTATATGGAATCTTTTCTTATCGTAAACGTTGTGAGAAGAGCGAACGAGAAACCAGAAATGAAAGACAAACGGGAAATAATGAGAAATTTGATCAAAGAAAAAAAGTTCCTTTTGAAGCCGACAGGCTATGAGACACAGTTCGAAAAACACATTTAACAATAACGATGTAAAAATAGGGAATAAAATCTCAAACAAAACATTTAGAAGTTTTTTAGGGCTTTTAACTTGAAAATAATAAGAACTCAAACATATCGAAAAAGCTTAGACATACCTCGATGTGTTGACGATCTGTTGGCTTTGTTGGAAAAGAACGAGAAGTAGAAGTTGGCGTAGAAGTCGACGTAGAAGTGGAAGTAGAAAGCATAATGGTGCCATCTGAACAAGAAAATATTATATAAAAAAACAAAAACCTATCGGCCTGATTAATAATTCACGACGATATATTCGTGGGACTATTGTAGTTGTTAACTATGTTATAGTTTTCCTACCTGATCGAGAACACGAGTTCTTGGTTAGTGAACGAGCAGCCTGTTCATCTATGAACAAACAAGATATCGTGAAATGATTGCACAGAAAAAGACACGAGTGAACATTTCTTACCAAATTTGCTCCTTAGCTGTAGGGGTGACATAGTACAAGGTGTCCCAAAAAAATGTCCCCTATCATATTTTGTGGTACTACATCGTTACCTGTAATCGAATATTCAATTTTTTTCATTTTTTTTATCAATGAACACATTACGTTAATCGTTGCATTTTTTCGCACCAAAATATTTAACCGTTCGCCTTCTAGAGTTACTTAAGGTGGCGACACCAATATTGCCACTTGTCCAAATTGTGGATATCAGGTTTAAACATATTACGGAACGTAATAAAATATTTTAATGGTAAATGGCTACATATCTTTTCTAAAACTTGTAATTAGTTGTAGCCAAAATCGCGAATTAATTTTCTGTAAAAATAATGAAGCAATCCCCAGAAAAGGGTAAAGACTAGTGCTTAAATTCCAACATTTCCTCTTTTATGGAACAAATTGAACGGAAAAAGCAAATTTAAGGCATTTTCCCAACCTTAGGCTTTGCCTTAGTCAATTTGCCAGGGATTTTTCATCTTTTTTTATTAATTTCTACAAGAAACAAAAGTTTAATAATAGAGATAAAAACATTTTGTTTTTGAGCAGAAAGGTGGGTAGAAACTTTAGAAATCCTTCTACAAAGTTTGCATTATTTTTAACCTAATTTCTGTAATTTGGACGAGTTGCAAACCATCTTCTAGAGATACGTAAGGTCGCCACCTTAAGTATCTCTAGAAGCCGAACGGTTAAGTCTTTTGGTGAGATGCTGTAAATACTACGATTAATATAATATGATTGTTTTTCAACCCACCTTGATTAAAGAGCATATGACTCGAAAAGTGACGGTGTTATATTTTAGTCTAATTGGAAAAATCATTGAAAACTGTAGAGTAACTTCTTTGACAGATTTTTGTTTTCTTGCTTCGTTTTGGAGATATTTCATATTGTATGATATGCAAAGGACCAACTTTCTACGTCACATATGCATAATGATTTAGCTCTAAGAGCTGTATATCTTTCATGTGACTAAACGAAATCATTAGAAAACCTATAGATGGGTGTTCTGTGGACAAATCTCGTGCTCATCATTCATTTTGTGCGAATTTATTTGATAGTGACAAAATTATATAACATTTTAAAGAAAGTTATTATGCATGTGTGACGTAGAAAGTTGGTCCTTTGCATATCATACAAAATGAAATATCTCCAAAACGAAGCAAGAAAACAAAAATCTGGCAAAGAAGTTATCCTACAGTTTTCAATTATCTTTCAAATTAGATTAAAATATAACACCGTCAATTCTCGAGTCATATGCTCTTTAAATATAGCGAAGTAATACCACCAAATATGACAGGGACATTTTTTTTGGGACACCCTGTATATCCACCTAAGATATATAGATTCCCATATATTTCCATAATATATCCACCTAGGATATATAGATTCCTATATTTCCATAACATGCAGCTCTCTGATCAAAAGTTCGCCTCACTCATCTCATGATGTAATAACACTGGATCACATGAGACGTCTCATACTTTAACTTTGGGGTGAACAGTTTCGAACTGACAAAGCTATCCGGTATAAATAAAGTTGGTTTAGTTTACGTATCCTTTCTCTTATATACTGGACTTCATAGAACTATTCAGTATAAATGAAGTTAGCTTAATTGGTTTCCTTTCGTGGAGTAAAACTGGATCAATAAGAGATGCTCCTCATTGATTCTCTAGAGCGGATAATTTAGAAATTTTGAACTGATCTTTATCCAGTTAGAATATTTTGTACAACAGTACATCACCCCTACTTTTTACTTACTTATAAATATTCTACTATTAATCGGCCCCACAAAAGTACCATTGGGAAAAGTCACACCAACTCGTAAATGATCTTTTTTATCAGTCTCAGCCATGAGGGCTGTCAGTTCGTATACTGTGCCTTTGGTTAAGTGATATGGTTTGTAGTAAGCTCTAAACGTAGAAAAGATAGTATAATTTAAGAGAATAACACACTGAACACAGAACAGCACACTGCATTGCATCGCAGTGCAGCACAGAGTAGAGTAGAGTAGAGTAGAGTAGAGTAGAGTAGAGTAGAGTAGAGTAGAGTAGAGTAGAGTAGAGTAGAGTAGAGTAGAGTAGAGTAGAGCAGAGCAGAGTAGAGTAGAGTAGAGTAGAGTAGAGTAGAGTAGAGTAGAGTAGAGTAGAGTAGAGTAGAGTAGAGTAGAGTAGAGTAGAGTAGAGTAGAGTAGAGTAGAGTAGAGTAGAGTAGAGTAGAGTAGAGTAGAGTAGAGTAGAGTAGAGTAGAGTAGAGTAGAGTAGAGTAGAGTAGAGTAGAGAAGAGTAGAGTAGAGTAGAGTAGAGTAGAGTAGATGCAGAGAACAGAGTACAGTTTACAGAGTACAGAGTACAGTACTACACAGAACAGTATAGTACAGTACTACGCAGAACAGAACAGTATAGTACAGTACAACACAGTACAATTAACACAACACAGTGCAGTGTACTGATGCATTATTTCAATGGTCCAATGGGTTATTATAGACCAATTTTGAAAATCTTAGTGTCAAAACCTTTGACCCCAAGACTTTTAAAATTGACTAGTAGAACCAATTATTCGGAATTTATCTGTTAGATTGAAGTTTCGATGCCCACTGATAATTAGAACTCACGGAAACCTATTTTCGCAAAGTCGTTTACAAGCTTCACATTTTATGCACTTACTGGTCCCAAGATTCATATCTCGTCCAGCTTGGTACTGAGTCGTCACGTGGTATTCGACCAACTACGTCATAATTAGGATCACTGACGTTTCTGATGTAGAGAACGCATTTATTGTCTCCTGACATGTTGAATATATGATAACCAGTTTCGGGCGCCTGGGAAAAACCACATCTAATGTTAATCATCATTTGTAACCTTCATCCGAGTTTCTATGTATAGGCATGATGTAATATATTTATTTTCAACTACAGGCGGAAATCTAAACCCATTCAACCTAAACTGGAGTGCTTTCCATTAACACGGCGAGACCGGTCAGAAAAGTCACACTGTTGAATGGAACACAATACATTTGGCCGGCCTTTGGGCCAATCTAATCCGAAAATTTGGATCAATTTTGACGGACATCCATTTTCGCCAGATTTTCGAGGACTAGATCTTTCCATTAATACAGAGAAAGAAATTCTGGTCTGACCGGTCTGGCCATTAAATGGACAGCGCCCTGGATATCTCCATATTTGGATATCCTAACTAGAGGGCTTAAAAGGACCAGTGTTACTGTGTTCATTATTAGCGTGCCAAAATTACTGGATGCTGATTGGTTGAGAGGAGTACAATTATTTCATTAATTGTACTGCAGTACAATTAATGATTTTCCCAAAACAAACAAAATGGCGGAAAGGTATTTTAAACAGAAATGTGAAATGAAATTGCCGTAGAGGAACTAGATGAAAATACGAACAATAGCACCAAATTTTGCTTGAACAAAAGAACTAAATGAAAATACAAACAAAAGCACCAAATTTTGGTTGAAAGTCTGGCAGGACTGGGCTTTGGCAAGTTGACATTGAGAAATGAGAAGTACTTATCCAATTATGCGGCTCGTCCAATTTTGGCCAGATTTCCAAATATCACCCGTACTATTAATCCCTAATTGTACTCGCCATCGCATGATTACCTATACTAATACTTACATTGAAATACGTTTTCATTTTCACACCATAATGATCATAAATGTTCTTGGGGGCTTGAAATGTTTGTAGTATGCCGCTACTGTCCACGTCGCTGTTAAGAAACTCATACCCACGATTTGTCTTGTTGAACCAGACATCGTATGTGACGCCTTCCGTTACCTTGACTGAAGCAAAAAATATCAGTTCCCAAAATTCCCGTACACAAATGATTCTGATAAACAAAGAAAACAAGGATGTCGAACTTTGTTCACAACACCAGGTAAAATCGGTCCGAAGCCATCCTGTCAGGCAGACAGAACTCCAGCCAGGGGCAAAATTTGGAGCAAGATGAACGCAGTCGATTTTGTAATGTGTAAATATCAAGATTTTTGGCATCTAACTCGATTGAAATAATGTTGACGGATTTTGTAGACGGAAATTTCGAACGTAACTTTTATACATTCATATATCTCGACCTAACCAGAGCACTTGCGAAAACTACAACTATAGTATATGCTGTATATACAGCTCGACAACTGGACTCTGTAGCTCCTCAGTTGGTTAAAGTGCCGCACCGAATTCGCAGGGCCGCAGGTTCGACTCCTACTAGCCGATTTTCTAATGTCGATTTTGTTGGGTCACTTCGTCGTTTTGGCCCCTAACCAAATTTCCACACCCTTCGGTGGCCAAGTAAGTACTGTTCTCGTTCATGCTAAACAACTTAAACAGCTGTCAACTCAACGACGAGGCCTGTTTATATACTGTGCGCGTAAAAAAATATATGCAGCAATATAATTGATTGATTAATGAAAGTTGTATGTTTGTGAATGGCTCACCGAAGGGCGTTGCTCTTGGAAATTTTTTCCGGAACCAAAATTTCCTCGCACACCGAAAGTAATCACGTCAACCAACCTGAGTCGTTGAACACTTGGACTTCACAAAGAGAAAGAGAATCTTGCTTCGTTTTACCAACGATCTTCACGGATCGTCCATACAATGGCTGACATCGTATAATCCTCGTTTCATCTCCTGCAAACACATGAAAATCTCCACAAGCCATGCCTGCGGAGCCGACATCGTACCGAACATACACTCGGAACGACGTCGGATGTCGTCCAGAATTCTTCACTTGAATGAAAGTGATGTTGACTTTCTCGTCCAGGTCAACTTGCCACCATGGTAAGGCGTCGTGGGGCGTTTTGACGGTTTGTGAGCACGTGTCGTCCTCTCCATCAACGGCATTGGATGCGTCATAAAGTCCAGGAGATTTTTGTCCTGTGATCTGAGTAGCTTGTCGCTTGTACGAGGCTGAATATTCTAAAACAAAGTGAGGAGTTTAGGTTCAATATCGAAATTTGGGGGCATCTCGCAAAACTAACAGTTGAAAGCTTTTTGTAGATGAACATTTCGAGCAGAAGAAATGAAAGGGGGAAAGGATCAACACATTGGTTCCGTTTTGGCAAGCTTTAAAGTAGAAACCATTTTAGAGCTTTTCGGCTTAAAAAGTCGTGTCATCCCAGTGGCTTGCATTTTGTACGAGACTGAGTGTCCTAAACATAACCCGTTTAAGGGCGATGGCACATGTGCCCTCACCTCTTCGGAGTAAGTAAATGAAGTTAGGTTTAGTTTAGGTTTCCTCCTGTAGTAACACTGGATCAAGATGAGATGACTCTTCCTGGACCTCTAGGAGCTATCCAGTATAAATAAAGTTAGTTTAGTTTAGGTTCCCTCCTGTAGTACCTCTAGGAAGACCAGTGTAGAAGTGATAGAGCTGTCCAGTATAAATAAAGTTAGTTTAGTTTAGGTTCCCTCCTGTAGTACCTCTAGGAAGACCAGTGTAGAAGTGATAGAGCTATCCAGTATAAATAAAGTTAGTTTAGTTTAGGTTCCCTCCTGTAGTACCTCTAGGAAGACCAGTGTAGAAGTGATAGAGCTGTCCAGTATAAATAAAGTTAGTTTAGTTTAGGTTCCCTCCTGTAGTACCTCTAGGAAGACCAGTGTAGAAGTGATAGAGCTATCCAGTATAAATAAAGTTAGTTTAGTTTAGGTTCCCTCCTGTAGTACCTCTAGGAAGACCAGTGTAGAAGTGATAGAGCTGTCCAGTATAAATAAAGTTAGTTTAGTTTAGGTTCCCTCCTGTAGTACCTCTAGGAAGACCAGTGTAGAAGTGATAGAGCTATCCAGTATAAATAAAGTTAGTTTAGTTTAGGTTCCCTCCTGTAGTACCTCTAGGAAGACCAGTGTAGAAGTGATAGAGCTGTCCAGTATAAATAAAGTTAGTTTAGTTTAGGTTCCCTCCTGTAGTACCTCTAGGAAGACCAGTGTAGAAGTGATAGAGCTATCCAGTATAAATAAAGTTAGTTTAGTTTAGGTTCCCTCCTGTAGTACCTCTAGGAAGACCAGTGTAGAAGTGATAGAGCTGTCCAGTATAAATAAAGTTAGTTTAGTTTAGGTTCCCTCCTGTAGTACCTCT